CCCCGACCCTTTGTGGAGGCATACTTGGCAGGTGCTGTAGTGGGTGACTCGAACTCCCTTTGTAACCCTTTGGAAAACAATGTGCTGAAGATGAACAGTTACCCTAGGTTGGTATTGCCAGCCAAGAAATGGGTTGTTTGCCAGTGATCAAACTGGGTCCAATGGTGCTGGAGGCTGACTGATGTTTTTGTGCGGTGATCATTGCTGTGCTACCATTGGCATCAGCTCATGCTGTCGTGATGGCCTTCGTCACCTGTGATCACATATGACAGCCGTTGTACTGTAGTCGCCACCACTCTACCCTAATTCAGAAATGGTGCCAATCACCTCCTGATTGCACGTATCGCAGGGCGCTACCTATGTCTGATCAATTTGTGAAGGGGACTTTTTGCAAAGGGGGTTATTAGACCTCTCTGTGTGAACTTTTCCCTTCTCTACCCCCGTCCTCCTCTCCCCCCAACCCCCTTTCTTTCACTTGTCTGAGTTGTAATGGGTGGATATGTTATGTTGCTCTGGTGGTCGGAGTGTTCATTTGACAGGTGGAAGTAACATTGAACTTAAGAATAGAGCCTTCTGAGGTACGAGCAACAACGAATTCTGCATCATTGACTGAGGCAGGGCAAGATGCACATGGTTCAGTGAATGGCTCTGAGTCTGAGCTGAGGAATTCTGGCAACGTCACCCCATCACATATTTGCCAAAGGAACGGCATTTCAGTCCGGCTACAACAAAGGTAGTCCAACCCTCACTCACTTCATAATGTTGTGGAAAGCAGGAAATGTTTCCTGATGCACTGTGGTATAAAGTCAGTTGTGTGAGCATACAGTCGTAGTTGTGAGAGCATACAGTCATAGTTGTGTGAGCATACAGTCATAGTTCAGTAACACAGTCATCAGACTCATCACATAGTTGTGTGAGCATACAGTCATAGTTCAGTAACACAGTCATCAGACTCATCACTGCATGGAATCGGATCACCCAAGGCCAGAGTACTTCTCATGGTTTTCACCCATTGACCCAGTGATAGGATGCATCAAATTTGGCTTTTCTGTGTCCAATGTTTTCTCAGACCGACATATGATGCATCCTATCGCAAGATTCATTGTTTGCACCCAGATGCAGCCAAACCCACAATTCTTTACCCTGACCCAGCCTTACCCAGGCTCATTTTAAATCTGTCTACGCATACCTGGCCCAGTCAGCACCTGCAATAAAAGCCTTACCCTTACTGAGTGCGCGAGGTCACTTTTCAATGTTTTCGTCCATCCGAACGCTGCCATGCCAACGCAAATGAGACTTAAAAAATGAGCTCCAATGGATTCTCCTGAATGTGGTCTTCTGCAGAACTTGGGTAAGTGGGCGGACGCAGTGTTGGCATGCCTCAGCCCTGTGGTTGTTCATCCTGGCCATGGTACTTTTATAACACGGACAGGCTCTTTCCCTCCGCCAGCCCACCTTCAAATTGTTGATCATGGACTCCATCCTACACATTTGAAAGTTTAGGTCCGTTTTCGTGGTCTGCGTTTTTTTTGCTCTGTCCGCATGCTTCAGAACTTGTGTGCATACTGTTTGTTTGGATTTCACAGGGAACATCCAGTGATCGGGACTTGCTGTACTTGCTATCTCTTATATGTTGTTGTAGACACCAACTGTACATGCTTCTTGTCGGTGTCTTTAAGGACACACTTGCAGTTCCAGCACGGCTGTATTTGGACCACTTTAACCATAACTGGGACACTTATGTGTGGAATGGACGTTTGCTCATGAATGATACTGGGGGCATTTTTTTGTTGGTGCTCCTCGAGGCTGCATTAGGGGGATTGGACCTGATTGAATGTCGTTGTCCTGGTGGTGATTTTCAGATCTTGTGGCGACAAGGTCACATTCCGATACTGGTATTACAATAATACGATGTACAAAACTGAAGGTGTGTCCCTTGGATTCCTTTTGCTTTCTTCAGTTCCTCTGGGTTTGTACTGGCAAATGGTCTTTCTCCTTTCTGGAAGAACACAAGCATATACTTCTAAAACCACCACTTCGTGTCCCAGTTATTTTGTTCTGATGCGGAGGTTTGCCAATCTGAAAAGCGTGGGTCGGACCTACCGGGTAGAGAGGACTGGTGGCACCGGGCGAAAGGACGTGTTTTTTTTTTTTTTTTTTTAATATATTTTGGCGTGCAGCAGAAATGAGCATCAGCAAAAAGAGGCTCCAACGAACTGGCGATTAAATGCAAAGTGGAAAAACTTTTAGGAAACAGTGCGAATTTATAGAATCTCTGCCTCGAAAATATAGGACAATGCAAGGAGTCCAAAGCTAGTGAGATCTCTTCTACTGTTTGTTTTTTGAACTTTTTTTGTAACTGGCACAGCCTTTCAGCAGGGGTTGCCAATCAGAACTGTCAGTTTCCAGTTTGGGATTCTTCCTCCCCCCCCCCCCTTCCTTTTTTGGTGCCTGTGGCATTGAAATTTGCAACTGAAATGCAAGAAATTCACCACTAACATTGGGCATGGTGCAAACTGTCTGAAGTCTCTGACTACTACAGTCAAATGCATCTTGGGCAGACTTGGTGTGAAGTCCATCGAAAAAGTTCCTCGCAGTCTTGTGTTTTTGAGTATGACGAGAGAGAGAGAGAGAGAGAGAGAGAGAGAGAGAGAGAGAGAGAGAGAGAGAGAGAGAGGGGGGGGGGGGGGGGGGTGCAGGGGGGGGGGGGTCTCACGGGATGTAAGTAGTGAAGACTGCCTGTAATTTTACCTTCTCACATGTTGATATATGTTGGTGTTGTTGGCTTGTGCAGTTACACAGCATTTCTCCTGCCCCTTTTGCCTTGCCTTGTGTGGTAGCTTCGAGGTTTGTGTCCTCCTTTCCCTCATGCGCCAGTGACGTTTTGTTCTCTATGATTCTATGAGACCTTCCTAGCTTGCAGAGCACATGCATAAGAAGTTAAAAATGGATGAGAGCTTGATTGTAATGCACTTTGCAGATGGTCTGAATGGTTGGAAGATGTGTTTAACACTATTAGGATAGTGTATGTGTGTTTTTTTGGAACAATTTGCCAGCTTGGAGAATTCATGCATCTCAAGGCAGTTATTTGCCAATGTAGTAATATTATAATATACTATTGGGGAAAAGGCAGTGAGATGAATCGTGCCGTGGAGACAGTAATGATATCTGCTTCGAGCCTGATTTGTGGTTCTTTAATCTCTCATTTTCTCATGAACTTGGTGGAGACTAGTGGATTATGTTGTGCGCCTTCCCCACTGTTGTGGAATTAATAAGACATGTTCGTCATGTTCTGTCTTTGCCAATCGCGTTGGTTATGCAGGGACTTTATCATCATCTTCAGGCTTCACATGACTTGTTCAGATTTGTATGCATGGTAAGATGAGTAACGAAGGTGCGGAAGGTCTGTGTCGTTACATCTTCCAAACGATCAATGATTGACTAGTTCTCTTATGATTGGGTGTTGTTCCAGTAGCAACTAATGTTTGCCGTGAGTCCTGTCACTGCCAAGACAGGCAGTGGTGTGGTCTCTTAGTGAACGACTGAACCCACTCGTTGCACTGCACAGAAATTTCCAATGCCATTCGGCTGAAATGATTAATATACTCCTCTCCCCCTCGGCAGAACTGTCTGAGAACAGGTGTGCACTCCAGCGTTACCCTGCCCAGCAGAACTAGAGGAACAGGTGGGACTTCTGGTGGTCACCTTGGCTTGCAGGAATAGAGGGCGTGATCTTGGGTATCACGTGTTTTTTTCTTTGCATGGTGCAAAACTGATCATCGCCAACAGGAAATTTCCTCTTTGCCTCTCCCTTGGCAATTTCATGTCAAGGGAGCTCCCTACAACGTTCTGATCTGATCCACCTCACACTCCTAAGA